GGCAGCAATGGTGTTCCAAGCGGGTTCTAGCAGTACACAGGCCGTTAAAGCAAGCAATACAAACATCAAGTCTCTTTCCACTGTTTTACAAGTGATTTCACATGTTTCATCCCTTTTCTAGTTGTTTTTGCTATCAGTCTCACAGAGCATGTCGTACTTCTTAGAAGGTTAAGAGCACTTTCTTGCAAGAAAACTGGAGCCATCCCATCCCGCCATCCCATCTGATTGAGGAGCGAAATTTCGGTTTTGTTAACAGTTAGCAGCTTGATCACAATGAACGCACCGACTGATTCTGTTTCATCAAGATATCGCATAACATACACATAGGTATCAAGCAGTGGCGTACCCAGGATTTCCGCTCGGGGGGGGGGGGCGCGACAAAAAATTTTTTCAAATGAAGGTGCGTGGCGTCAGCCACGCACTCCGAAAAAATTTTTGGGGTGTTTCTCAAACTTTTTGCGGGTCCCCAACCCCGAAAATCCGGAAAAAGGGGGCTTCAGCCACGCTCCCGAAAAATTTTTTTTTTACAAGGCTAATTTGGATTTTTACAAATTTTTAAAAATTTTTTAAAATTATTTTAATTATTTACAAAAATAAACAAGTCACTTGCACATTTTTATAACCCATATAAGCAACTTTCAAAAATTTGGCGACCCATTCTCGGGGGGGGGGGGGGCGCCCCCCCCCCCGCCCCCCCCTCGGTATGCCACTGGTATCAAGTACACCATCGGGGAGGAGAGATATAGATGGTTGACAAGAAATAAAAGCAAAGTGTGACAACCTCACACAGCAGGTGATGACAACACAATGTGGTCCTCGGAAAGTGTTTTCTTTCCGTTATAAAGCTTATATCTGCTGTGTTTCTGATTGTAAGAATAATGCAATATACTGTGTCATAACCTATGACCGTGATATTGGGATTACTTCATCTCCCCATTGATCTCTGGCCATGGATTCAAAGCGCCTTTTTTGAGGAAAGTGTAAATCTTCTGCAATCTCAATCTTTGCCTAACTTTTATTAGGCATCAAGTATAGTGTTACCAATGTTAACCGCGTTCCGAATCATTTATACGTGTACGTGGAATGTAATAACAGTACTTTAACCAATCAAATAGACGGCGCTAATGTAAATTTTATCTGCATATATGTAAGGTTGGCTCAAAAGTTCGTTGGCACCATCCCAAAAATTTACAACTTCTTATGTTCTCAAATGAATTGCATAATCCTAATCTTATCTTAAAGGGAAATTCACGAGCAGAATAGAGTTTGAAAGGCTTTGGAACACTCAAATACAGAGATAGAACTCTTAGAAAAAAAACGTCAATGTTGATTTTTCTGTGAGGGGTCGCCAAAAATCTGAAACTTGCAATAGAATTCGGAGCAATTGATGGTATGAGTTTCATGACCTACTCTTTCTATTTCAAAAAATTTTGTGCAACTGAGGGTTTCTGTCAAAATAGTTTTTCGGGAGATATCATATAAGAAAAAAAACACTAGTCAATAGGAATACACCCATGCATAATTGCTTGGATTTCTGCCTTTTTATATAATCGTAAATTCACTGTTCATATCAATCGTACTTTTTTAAGGCTCAGAATGATGACTAGTGGGGTACCGCAGGGTGGCGTACTGTCACCAATTCTAACATCTATACTTATGATCTTCCTCAATTAATCTCTAGATTGGGAGTGTCGTGTTGCGGATTCGCTGATGATTTCAAAATTTATAGTAAAGTGGAAACAGACGAGGACAGAGTTAAGATTCAGCGAGTGCTAGATGCGGTGATTGCATGGTCGATTAATTGGAAATTACCTATATCTCGGGAAAAAAACCAATGTACTCCACATCGGTACTACCGACCCAGATTATCGATATCAAATTGAAGGAGAGGACCTAGACTATGTCAATGAAGTAAGAGACCTAGGTTTTCTGGTCAACAGGAACCTTAGCTTCGATAAGCATTGTGAAACAGTTGCTGCCAGAGGTAATGCGGCTGTTTATAATTTATTCAAAGCCATCAACTAGTGACACATGCTTTCTCATTAGGGCCTATAAAACTTATATCATACCGTTACTGGAATATGGTACTGTAGTTTTCAACTCTACAAAAATCAGTTCAATTCGAGTGCTTGAAAAGGTACAAATTTTACAAGGAAATTGCTGATACGGACTAAAGGTTTTCGATATGAACAATTACACAAGGGGACGCTTAGAGACAAGGAACTCGGAATATACAGTTTAGCTATAAGAAGGAATATGTTTGATCTTATCACAGCCCATAAGATTATATTCAAAGATTGTCATCTCGACCCGTTTTCCTTTTTTGAAACTAGGAGTTCTAAAACTAGGGGGGGGGGGTTCAAGAAAGATAGTCATACCTAGAGCAAGGAGAAATGTGAGGAGAAGATTCTTTGTGAACAGAATTAGTAGTGATCTGGATAGACTGATGAGAAGAGGAATGCTTCCTGCTGAGCTTTCGCAGTTTAAGTTGCTTCTAAAGGACTATTTGCTTTCATAATGACAATCTGTCATTCGTTGCTTTTTTGTATTGTGTTTACTAACAAATTTTTATGTTTTGTAATACTTGTCAGTTGATGAATAAGGCATAGGTCATCCTATGTAATAAATGAATGAATGATTGAATGAATATATTGAATATTAGGTTGTCCCAAAAGTTTTGTCCTTTTCTTCAAACAATTATTAAGCCAGGCACAATAAAGATCTGAAGCTTCAGTATGCATGCAATGCAGCTTTTTCTTCTCCTTCTTAGGATACATTCTCGAACCATAATCCTGTATGCTTTTTTTGATAATTGTCAAAATTTTCCACACGCCAACTTTATCTGCTCGAAGTTAGGCTGATTTTGAAAATCTCATTCCAAAGTTTCGGAAAGTGTTAAATATGGGTCAAATAAAGATATTCTCGGACTACAAGAATGTATTTTTATAATCTCCTAATCTGCTGATTTTAGCTTTGAAAATTTATTTCTTCGGAGATCTCGACTTTTGGCAAACTCAAGAAACACTCAACTGCCGCAAGTACACGAGCCATCAAGAGCACAAATTGGGAAACACGAGATCTTGGTTGAAATCTAATTACACAATATGGAGGTCTTATGAAACGGGATCTGTAACGTGGACAACAAGAAATACTGCTTTGTCTTGAATGCAAGGGATTAGGTTTGGTTTGCTTTGAAAAAGCAGCTTTTTGGAATTTTGATACTTTTACCTGGTAAACGTTATCAAAAAGGCGCGATTTTCATTAAATAAATAATTATACCAGACTTTACAAACGTCGCATATGTGGTCTAAAACGGATGCAATGTAGTCAAGGATTTACCCTACATAGCATTTATCAAAGCTCTTTGAAAACATTAGAATAAAAAATTAGAAAATTCAGGAGAAATGTGGCATTGCTGCTGAGCTGTTCTCAAAAAGCCATGGCGATAACATTCCTGAGAAAGGGTAGATCAGAGAGCAAACGTAGCCCTAAGAAATAGGATAAAAATCTAAATCAAATAGTACCTATGTCGTTCAAGGATTAGTGTTCTGTGAGTTCTAGCAGGTGATGAAAAAAAAACGGACAAAACTTGGGTACAACCTGATATTTAAAAGCGATTTCGTATTGCCTGCTCGAAAACGAGTTTCCAACGAAAAGCTCACTCTCCACAATTCTTGCTTAGATGGTAGGTCATGAAAATCATAATGCCAATTGTTCCAAATTGATGCAAGTTTGAGATTTTGGCAACCCAAGATAGAAAAAAAATAAACTTAGAGTATGAATTTAGAGTATTTCTCTTCTACGGCTTCTATCTCGGCAGCGTTCGATTATTTAAATATGCTTGTAACGCACATGATTTCTTTTTTCTGATAAAGTCAAGATTCCGCAACTCTGAGAATATACAGGGTGTCCCAAAAAAATGTGAACACTGTGTGATTGTTGATAACCGCCTTGCTTTCATGTCTTTCGCAGAGCTTGAGGTACCATTTTATAGAACGAGGATTAACTTAGATTTACAGTATGGAGCGATTCGTCGATCGCTCTTTGTTACTGTAGGATTACGGTAGGAGCTTTGACAAGGATTTAAGTCCATTAGAGGCCATATTTTCCTCAAAAACCAAACAAGCCAAAAACTTTTACATTATTTTAATGAAAGCAGCTGATTTCGAATATGAAATTTTCAATTTACTGTGATGCTTCTTTCTTAGGTTTTCCCTGGTAAACCGTAACAACTGAATTTCCAGCGTTTGTCAGAAGTGTGACTACACCGTCAAAAAAAGCTAAAACACACGTAAACTGTTGAGTAGTGGAATCAGCGTGCGCGAAAACCCTAGTACAAGATTTTCTAGATTTTTTGAAAAAGAATTTTGTAAAATGGCATATTTCACAATAGATCCACATGCTAGAAGTTTATACCGTAATCCTACAGTAACGAAGAGCGAGCGCTGATTCGCTCTACACTGAATAATTTAAGTTGAACCTCGCTCTACAGAAAGGTACCTCAAGCTCGGCTAAAGACATGAAAGCAACGGAGTTATTGACGATCAAACAGTGTTCACATTTTTTTTGGAACACCCTGTAAAAAGCTACGAATTTTTAGAAAAATGGACATGCTGGGCAACTCACAGATGAGACATTGTGTCCACATACTAATTCCATTAGGCTTTCCATAAGTTTTCTTAGCTTTGAAGTTTATTGCAATAAGTCGTACTCTTTGATTTCTGGTAGTTATAGTTGAGGGAAGATTAGATTAGAATCTTATATATGAACTGAAGTGAAGTGTATGTGCGATTAAGTGAGAGATCCATAAAGGTTGAACGAGATTATCTTGTAGAACTTGATTTGCTTTACCGAATGATATCTTGTAAATGAATAGCAATAAAAAGTATGCACTTGTTGCCTGTGAAATCAAAATTCACAAAGCTCATAACACAACCTAATGTTTGGCATATCTACTACGAAATACTATATTGCTTGACAATTAACGAAATTGCTTTCAGCGTGTCCCGGACATTGCGAAAATGGATGGGCATACCTCGACGAAACCGATGCCTGCTATAAGGTGCGTGCTACCTTCTTTTCAGGAAATATTACTGAATTGTTGCGCAAAGCATTAAAATTTTTCTCACAGAACGATTTTCAGCATTCAAAGCCCTCAGCATACTTGCTTGTAAAGCACCAAAGGGGTTAGAAAAAGATAAGCTGCTTATACATGGCTTCCTTTGGTTTAGACGACCCCAAGCTATGATTTTTTATCCTAAACTTACTCATTTTTCATAAGAAAATAGTCATCACACATGCTTCCTTTTGAATTAACTGCGGAAGTAAATGTGAAAATCTGCATGTGCACTCATTAGCTTATGATGGTGACTAAGTCATCATAAATTATTATACACTTGATAACGTGACAAGAGTGCTTGACAGGGAGCAAGTATGAGACGTATAGGTCATTTATAAAATCGTTACAATGAATTTGACTGCGGTTCTTGCGTGGGCCTACAGGAGCATAAAACGCTCATATAAAGTGACGTCACTTCATCGCCGAGAGTCACTTCCAGTGAAATATGTTTAAATACTATCATACATAAGAAGAAAAACCATTTGAGTATAGATGAAAACCAAGAAAATGAGATGCTGCAAGGCGTGCCTGTGGTTGCGCCATCGTCATGATTTTTCAAATGCTCCATAAACTTTGCACTAATCACCCTGATAATGAAGATTAGAATAGATATACTACAATTTCTCATGTTATGACAAGAGTGCTCAAAACAGGAAAAACTTAAGATTTGTGGGTTTGTAAAAATTACGGTACTTGGCACTGCAATGTGTGCACACGCAAATTTTGTCAAGAATTTATTCCATAAAAACCATGTTATACAAGTGATTTTTGAAGCAAAATGCAAACAACTCAAAACATAATGCATTGCTTGGTGTGATCAAACTGGAGAAGATACGTATAGATGTATAGTATACATGCATAATCCTTTTGCGATTACCGAGACAACGGCTTCACTAACCGCATATAATTTTACAGACTTTCTATTGGGAGACCTTCAACAATGCCGAGAGCCTTTGCAGGAATTTCGGAGCGCATTTGACCTCAATCCACAGCGCTAACGAGAATCAGTTTGTAGCCGGTGATCAACATCGCTTCATTCAAACAATGAACACTAATATGTTTTGACTTGTGTTCTAGGCTTGGCACAGTCAGGGCTTGAATGGCCTCTTGGAAGCGGTGCCAAACATGCGACTTGGATAGGTTTAGTACGCGCTGATGATCTAAATAACAAGGACTGGCTCTGGACAGACGGCACGAAAGTCGAATTTCTTGCATGGGCTCCATCTCAACCGGATGATGCAGGGGGAATCGAACATTGCGGGCAGGTATTGCTCTAATGATAAAACAAGAAGAATTCAAAACTTGTATAATGTTGGAATGATGAGTGCTGATACCAAAACTTACAAAATAAAACTCGATTAAAAATTACCATAAGCGGCATCAATGTTTTGTCAAACGAATGGAGTGGATGAAGTTCCCAAGCACTTGCAAATTTTTTTTCCAAGCTGCTGTAACTTCAAGCAGACTGCTTTTTTCAAGAGCTGCAAACTTTGCCGCGAAGGCAATGTTTACCTGCAAGGTATGCCTATTTTGTTGGGTCCTCAGCACTTCATTTCGGGCTATGGGAGTAGGGAACATGTAGCAGTAGGGAACAAGGTCAACTCGAAATTCGGGCGGTTGGTGCAGAAACTTCTCCAACACGAAGAGAGCTGCAGGGCTCATATCTGGTAGTTATGTAGAACTCTGCTGGAACTGTTTATAGACTGTGTCACAATTTAGAGCACAGCCTGTGAAAATTTTTTTTTGGAAAAATCGAAAAATCGGCCATTTTTCTACCCTAAAAATCCTAAAAATGCCCCATTCCTTGAGTAAATAAATTCAAAGTCTTTTTTTTTTCACGGAATGAATCAAACCTTTGATTGCTGGAAATATCGTTGGGGTGTTCGCTTGCACATCTTTTGGGCTACCATCAAGGGATGAAGATCCTTACAAAATCGACGCAGACTTCGAAAGCAGGTATAGTTAAAGGAAAGTTCGAGAGCTTGTGATTTTTGTGCGTGTTTTGTAAGATCCGAGCCCCGCTGCCGCTTTGAAGCGGACAACTTCCTGATTCAGACTGACCAACCCATGAATGGTTTTCTCTGTTCACTGCGAAAAAATGGCAGCAAAAAGAATAAATGTGAAATTTTCATTATTGCACAGACTTCCTATTCTGGTATAGGTCAAATACGGTTCGACATCTATAAAAACTGGATGCGAGTCTGGAAAGCTTAGGCTTTCTTCTATAGAATCATATGAAATAGGTGCCTTTAAGATTCAAGCGTGTGCAAAAAACGAGCCTGAAAATGAAATTTCCAAAATTGCCCGGAAACTTTCTTCACAACCTAATAGGAAACTATAGTTTCAGTATGGCATTTGCCTTACCGATCCTTCCCATTATAATAGCACCGAATATTCGTATTTGAATAATTTATTCGAAATATTCGACCATTCGAATATTCGAATACTCGAATATTTGAGAAAGTCCATTTATTCGATTATTCGAATAGTCGAATAAATGAAAAAGACCTATATTCGAATAATTCGTTTATTCGACGATTTCAAAAAATGACTTATTCGAATATTCGTTCATTCGAGGAGTTTTGAAAAAAGGTTATTCGAATATTTGTTCATTCGAGTAGTTTTAATAGATAGTTATTCGAATATTCGAATATTGCATTCAAATATTCGAATAATATTCGAACATTTATTCGAAAATAGTCGAATATTCGATCAAGTTCGGTTATTCAAGCATTCGTTCATTCGAATCTTGAAATGTGCCAATATTAGAATATTCAAATTCGAATAAAATGAAAAACGAAAGTCGAATAATATTCGTTCATTCGAAGAATTTTCGAAAATCAAATATTCGATATTCATTCGTTCGAAAAATTTCCGAAAATCAATTATTCGATATTCATTGGTTCAAAAAATTTCAAAAAATTGGTTATTCGGTATTCGTTCATTCGGCAAAAATTTCTATTCGTTACAACTATACTTTCCATTAGCATCAATGTTGATGTCAGAATAATCTCAGAGGACTATTCTCCTCCAAAAACGACTCAACATGAAGACGTAAAGGCGACAGGTCAGAGCAAATCATGAACCTAGTTCAAGGTCACTCTCACTCCTCAGGCCAATCAATTCATCGACTTTCTTTCAACACATCCGTGGAATCGCGCGGATAGAGGACTATAGGACGACGGATGTAGGAGAGAGTACCGCGGGCTTCTTGGAATAACGCATTTCCATGCATGTGAAAGGGTGGTATTTGTTGCAGGTTACTGCGGGGCCGTCCCATTTAGCCACATATAGTCTACTACCAAATCGCGTCAACGCAGGTCGCGAACTAGCGACGCTTGCAAATGTTTCAGCAAGGATTGCGCACCCACGCGGCATCATACTTTTTGAGTAATGCTCTCTAAGAGCGAGCATACCCACAGTGCTACATTCAGCGCTTTGATGGCCGGAATGCAATGGATAGATGCAAAAACAATCCTGTCAAGGAGATCAAACAAGCAGTTTGCAACAGCTTTTTCGTGTTGACGCCTCTTTGTCTTGTAATTTTTGTTATGTTTCGAAATTTAGGTTGTTCTCCATTAATCTCTATTATCCCAGGTCGCGGGCTTGTAGTAGTCAAGCCCCATTCCTGCGCTAATTCTCTGCATCCCCCGCCATTGCGCAGTATCTCTGTAAAAAGTGAAGGTGACTTAACGGCTTGCAATACATCGCATGTGAGAGCAGAGCTATAGCTTGATCGAAGGGTGCAACCTGACCCAACCGACTGGAAATATAATATTTCGAGTATGGCCATAAAATGGAACTCAGCTTCAGCTCAGCTGCGATTTACGTCAGCTCCAAGAGTCAGTTATTACTACCGGTCCAAGAGTCGACGCAAATTATCTATGTCTAATCTACAGCCGTATGAGGGGGCAAAATACAAAAGCCAGAGCGGTTCTATCAGCCACAGGGCACGTGGGCCACACTGTCTACAACGGTGAAAATAGGCGCGCTGCGCTTGCGTCTGCTCAAAAGCAGCGCCTCCGCAAAGCGGTGGGTACTGGAATTGCACACTATACTTTGGGAAATTCGGATATTTTTTCGAATATTTGAATTTCGAATAATATTAGGTTGTCCCGAAAGTTTTGTCGATTTTTTCCATCGCTCACTAAAACCCACAGAACACCAATTCATGGAGGTTTCAGGTATTAATTAGAACAGATTCTCATCCTCTTTCTTACAGCTAAGTGCTCTCTGATCTACCCTGTCTTCCCAATGTTATCGCTATGGATTTTAAGCAACTCAGCAGTAACCCCAAATCTTTTCTGAATTTTAAAAATTTTTCTCCTGCTATTTTCGAAAAGCGCTAATAACTGTTATGAAGAGCCATTCTTCGGCTACATTATATTATACTTATTTTAGATTGCATGGGTCACGCTTATCGAGCCTTAAATTATTTATTTAAAAAAAACCGCTTTTTACGTCTACCACGTAAAATCACCGAAAATTCCAGAAAGCTGCTTTTTCAAAACAAATCAAACTTGAATGTGTCCGAAATGAAAATGGTCCGAAAGAAAAGACAGAATCGATAGCGCTTGCTCGTAGAATAGCGGCCTCTAATGGATACGGACAGCATGCAGGTAGAACAAAAAAAAAAGTGCCAAAGATCGCGTACAGAAAGATGTTTCCTATACGCCCAAAAAAGTTACATTTTGCGTCCCATATATATCTAAAGAAGTAAGCGCATCATTGCGACAATGTTTGAAAAGAGTAGGATTTGAAGATTTAGTTACGATTGTTGAACTACCTCCGAATAACTTGAAGACCATCCTAGTTCGCAATCGCTTGTATGATCGCAATTGCGTTACCCCGAATTGCATAATCTGCCCTGCGAGCAGAGAAGGGGACTGCATGGCAGCTGGAGTCATCTACTTGATTTCATGCGCGATCTGCGGCGACGAATACATTGGTGAAACAGCGCGTCCACTATGTATCCGTATTAAAGAGCATCTAGACGGCAGAGATAAAGCACGTACATCAACACCCCTAGGCACCCACAGAGTAGTGCAGCATGCAGGAACGAACTTTGAAATTTCAGTGAGAATAATGGCCTATGAGTCCCAAACGCAAGCACGTAAGTGTTTAGAGGCGTTTTGGATTCATGCAAGAAGCCCAAAAATGAATCGGAAAGAGGAAAACTTAGCAATTACGCATGAACTCTCGCCTTATCTAGATCAATTATTTTGATCTGATGTATATAAATAGCGGTCTGCATACACGTTTAACGAGTCCATCTTCCTCTAACAGTGGACAACGTGACCTCCACTTTCCTCCAGAGTGGTATCGGCGTATCCAGAAGGTACGTGCTCGAGTGCAGCTGAATCAGTGGTCGAAAACAAGGTTTAACATTTCGCCTGTTCAGCTGTAAGGCTTGTTCGAATCGGCTGCGGATCGTATTGTTGCTTACAGGCTCTGACGAAGGCGATCTGCCGAAACGTTAGCCGTCAATTGAATAAATCAATTACCAATCTCGTGTATGGCTCAAGAAGAAAGAACAAACTTGAATGTGTTTCAGAAATAATGTTTATTAACAATCAAGTTTCAATTCGCAAAAATTACAGAAACTTTCATGTTTTTGCCGCAGTTCGTGTTCCATGGTTTTGCCAAAAATCGAGACCTCCGAAAAAATAATTCTTTGAAGCTAGAAACAGCCACTCAGGGGAATCTAAAAACATCACCGTATTGCCCGAGAGTTGTTTTATTTGTGCTTTTTTTAGTCCTTTCCAAAACCTTGGAATGAAATTTTTAAAAATTAGCCTAATTTTGAGCAGATAAAAATGACGAGTGAAGATTTGTGGCAATTATCAAAAAACCATACAGAATCTTGGATCCTAAATGTGACTATAAGAAAGAGAAGGAAAAGCTGCATCGAATGCATGTTGAAACTCATTCAGGTCTCCATTGTGCGCGGTTTTATAGTGGTTTGAAGAAACCGACAAAACTTTCGGGACAACCTAATATTTGAAAATTGAAAATGATTATTCGATAATCGAGTAGTATTCGATAATCGAATATTATTCGATTTTCGGACATTATTCGACTGTTGAATGTACAATTTATGGTAAGAAAAACGGTTATGGATGACATCATGAACCTAAAATCCTACTCCTACAACGGTGTTGTTGAAAATGGAAATTTGAACAAGATCATTGTTTAAAACATGGTCAAGCGTGTGATGTGCAATGGGGGGGGGGGGTGTCCGAGGGGGCACCGGAGGTGAGGGGGG